GGAGTCGGGGTAGTACGGTCGCGAAGCCATTTTTTGGCTGCAGAACTGCTGATTTATTGGGTCAGCTGGCAATTTTCCAAGCGGTGTCCTGTAGAACGACAGAGTATTTGTAAAACGCATAACTTTTGCCATGGAGACGAAAGCTGGCACAGGGCCGATCTGCTTTTTGTTCCCGTCGAGGGTGTGTCAAACCAGCTAGGAATAAAATCGCGCATAGTGGGCGGCATAACTTAAAGGCACCTGCTTTCGTAAGCCGCATGCGTTTCCGGCACCAAACTCTTGTGTGATCCTACCAACCCGGCAACGAATGCTTATTCTAACAAAGTCAATGAATAAGGTTAGAACTAGGGTTGTAATTAAGGTAAAATTCAGGTGGGCGTGTAGGTAATCGTGGAGAGGTAGGCGCCTAATACGGTCTAATTCAGTGCTAAAAAGCCGCCTGACACGAACTATAACGGTGAGAATATCAATCAATCAATCAACGGTATTTCTATCTCACAATGAGAAAAGATTGAAAGTGATGTTGCACAAGGTGCTGTTTTAGACTTTATACCCCTCCTAACGAGTAGAATGCGAATGAGTGCATCAAGGAGTTAGATCGTGAATTTGTACTGTAAGCCGGCGATCTACAAACACAGACTGAAGCCAACTGTGTTTACGACGCGAAATGCTTGCAGTCGACCTTCGATAAACCGAGGGTTTGGTCGAACAGGAGACTTCTATAGTTTATTGTGTCCAAGTGCATGGTCTTACACCTTAGTGTGTGTCGAAAAGTATCTTCATAAGACCAGTATTATATTAACGACACTGCATAAAATGTGGAAACACACAGAGATCTGGGGGCGCGTGAACAACTGCGAACATGATATCGTCAGAACATTGTAAGAAGGCAATCCAGAAATCACTTAGTGCTTTGCACGGGATCGGCCGTGCGTTTTGCATATTTCCCCCCGGAAACTTCGAAAGAATTTTCGGCGTCTCCGTGAGATCCCATTTGGTTTACAAAGAGACAGCTTTGACACCGTGGATGAGGATAATTGCAGTGGAGGACAAGAAAGACGGCCGATGGTCTTAGGAGTTAAACGCGCCAGGGTAGGTTGAAAAAGTTTACATCTTTTGTTTTTTTCTCACAGGCGCTTAAAAGTTAACCTGTTCTGGACGTTCGAGCTTATCTGTGGCTATGGTAGCTCATTGAGACTGGAGAATTTCTTCGAGTTTATGTACACAATTAGCTTGCGCGCTCAACCATACAAGGTCAGAAGTGAACGCACGCGACTGGATCTCATGTAAGTTTTTTTCGGCCAACGATTGGTA